TGAGTTTCTGAATATGAGATGAAAGCAAATAGTTCAGGTGACATAGCTGGAGACAATTGGTATGATCTGCAAGATGATGTCTACCTGGCAATTTTTAGAATAAGAAAAAATGTAAAACTGTTTAAGTTTCCACCAGTAAGAAATATTCTTTTGAAAAGGAATAGGAAAGAAACTTACTGATCATTTTAGACTGTAAAACACTCTGAAACACACCCCAGAAATAAAAAAATGAAAGATTTTTAAAGACCCTAAATCTGATAAAAATGATTGTATGTCCACTGAAGCTAGGACTGATGGGGAGAAGCAGATGATGAAATTATGAGCAGGAGATTAAATAGCTTAAAACCAGTTGACTAGTGTAGAAGCATTAAGTACCCACGGTGCAGGTCTTCTAAACAGAAAGAGAATTTTGCTTTGAGCAGTTTGCTTTTAAAAGAAATTATAATTGAATCAGTTAATGCAGAAAAAAGGATCTAATGTCCTTCATTAAACATTTAAGCGAGTTTAGTAGTTTACATGAGAAGGACAGTTTTTTTGCTTTGGCAAACAAGAATAAAATAGCTTAGCAAATCATGCATGGAAAAACTTTTGTGAAAGAAAATATGTTTTATCACAAGAAATGCAAAGAACAGTAAATGTCTGTGTACTATCCTTCTTGAAATCCAAAACTGATCTAAAATATGAACTAGCAAAAATAATATGGAACTCAAGTGCAGAATCAGAATCAAGAAATAAAACAATATTCAAATCATTGAAAAAGGGACTGTGTTTATAATAAGCAACATGTACCTTAACAACCAACTTGAGGATGCTTCTAGATGCAGCATAATAGTTCAACTAATGTCAATGCAAAAGGAAGGAAACATTCTATATCTGGAATATTTGTTGTAAAATAAGTATCAAGACTATACCATAGGGAAAATCAAACTTTATGTCTTTTAAATTTTCATTTTAAGAATAACAGACAATTTGTTTGTGGTAATTTTCAGATTTTTAAATTACTTTATTTAACATCTGTTTTGTGTTGCTATTCCCTCCTTTTAATATTTTCTATTGTTAAATGTTCCTATTAGAGATCTTTTTACATGTCATTGAAATGTGATCTAATATTGTAAAATTACAAATGCTCATAATAAACTGAGTTTATTCTTACTTTTTTGAAGAAAACTTCAGAAATTTAGTATAACCCCATCTCAGAAAAAAATGGCTCACTGGGCCTCCCCGGTGGCGCAGCGGTTGAGCGTTGGGTTGCGAAGCTGCCCGCGGCCTCTGCGGCGCCTGTTCGATCCCCGGCTGCTCCCCGGCCACTGGAGGAGGGTCCCACATGGCGCGCAGACCTCTCCTGCCGCCCGCTGCTCCCCTCAGCGGTGTACTTCGGTCCTTCTGCCTGTTCTGTTCCCCGCTCTGGCTCTGGTGAATTCTCTCACCCTCCCGCACTTCTGACTGTACCCAGTGCATGTATAAACAAAACAAACAAACAAACAAATAAATAAAAAAAAAATGGCTCACTGTTTATTATTATAGTCAGTATTATTTTAACACATATAATCAAGGCATCATGGAAAAATACAGAATAACTTATGATTTTGAGAATTCCCAGGAGCTCCTAGGAATTCCAATTTCTTGTTCCAGAATCTGCAGATTTATATCTATCAGGCATTTGTGAATACTAGTACTGTGTCTGGCACAGAGCAGGCACTCAGTGGATGTTTAGAATAAAGGGATGTTATTTTAACTCACAACAGTCCTATGAATTACACGTGAATGTGCACATTTTACATATTAGAAATCCTGAGTCTCCTTTTGAGGCTGAAGATGGGCAACACCTCAAAGATTCTTAAAAGCTCCACTGTCTGGGCCTCCCTGGTGGTGGAGGGGGTTGAGCGCAGCTCTGTGAAGCTGTCCGCAGCCTCTGCAGTGTGGGTTTGATCCCCCGCCCAGCTCCCTGGCCGGGTGGGGGATCGAACCCACATGGTGCAGCAGACCTCTCCTGTCTCTCCCACTGCTCCCCTCAGCAGTGTTTTCAGTCAGTCTGCCTGTTCTGCTCCCTGGTGTCTCTGGAGGATCCTCTCACCCTCATGCACCTCTGGCCTGCCCCCCAGATCTCCAGTTCTTGTATGCATAAATAAATAAATCTTAAAAAAAAAAGAAGTTCCACTGTCTTCTGAGATGGCCCGTAAGGTTTTTAGACCTACTATACGAGGCCTGCCTCAAGTTGCCCTGACAAGGCATGTGAGAACCCAACTCTGGTTTTGATTTTAGCCCTAAAGCCGTTTCTTGTTTGGGAATCTCTTAATGGAAGAGTCAGGGAAAGAGAGTGCGACCATTTTATTTTACAATTCAGCAAATCCTAATCTCATTATATGTCTATTCAATTCTGCAGAAAACCTCAACAATTGAAAAGTTGGTTGACAGTCTGCATTCTACATAGACTTCTCCAGCCAAGGCCTTGAGGTAGTAAGTAGCATTTCAAGCCTTTCCATTTTCCACCCTGCTATAGGGAATAGCCTTGCCACACTTTTTTCTGCTATGTAGGATGAGTCCTCTCGTCTCCAGTAATGTTCTTTCACATCCTTCACACCATCACTCATGGTATCCTCATGGCCTTTCAGCCTCTCCCTGCCACCCTAGCCCAAAGCCAGTGTCCTGTGGTTTAAGTATTTGTTAGGGCAGCATCCTACTTCTAAGTACCATATCCTGTTCAAGGTAACTATTGCTGTCTAATAAACTGAATGGCTTGAAACAATTTATTTTTTTTTCTTTTTTAAAGATTTATTTATTTATTTATTCATACAAGCACTGGGTACAGTCAGAAGCGCGGGAGGGTGAGAGAATTCACCAGAGCCAGAGCGGGGAGCAGAGCAGGCAGAAGGACCGAAGTACACTGCTGAGGGGAGCAGCGGGCGGCAGGAGAGGTCTGCGCGCCATGTGGGACCCTCCTCTGGTGGCCGGGGAGCAGCCGGGGATCGAACTGGCATTGCAGAGGCTGCGGGCAGCTTCACAACCCAGCGCTCAACCGCTGCGCCACTGGGGAGGCCCTTGAAACAATTTATTATTGCTCTATTTGCACAAGGTACAGCAAGGGCAGCTCTTGTCTACTTCAAAATGTCGGCAGCATCACCTGCCAGGAGGGGAGTGCAGGAGGGGCTAGAGCAACCAGGGGCTGGCCAGGTCATACCTCCTCCCTCCCTTTCTCTCGCTCCATGATATGTCTTCATTGGACTAGCTTTGGCTTCCTTTTTTTTTTTTTTAATAATAAATTTTATTTTTATATTCCCCATACAATTGCAACCCCCCCATTCTGACCCCAATCCCTCCCCTCCCGCCCCCCACTCCCAAAAAAGTGTCTCTGGTTCATAGTTTTTTTGGTTCATAGTTTTTTGTTGATTTTGATTTTCTCTTTCTTATAGTTATTCATTTTCCTGGTCCCTTATTTAAGTTTTCTAGATTCCTGCTATGAGTGAGACCATCCGGTATTTTTCTTTTTCTTTCTGGCTTATTTCGCTGGCATGATCCCTTCCAGCGCCATCCATGTTGCTGCAAATTGCATGTGTTTATCTTTTTTGAATGCTGAGTAATATTCCATGGTGTATATGTACCACATCTTCTTGATCCAGTCATCTATTTTTGGGCATTTGGGCTGTTTCCAAAGCTTAGCTATTGTAAATAGTGCTGCTATAAACATAGGGGTGCAGGTGTTCTTTGGAATTGATGTTTCTGTGTCCTTTGGGTAAATACCTAGGAGTGGAATTGCTGGATCATATGGAAGCTCTATGTTTAGTAGGTCCAGAAATCTCCACACAGCTCTCCATAGTGGTTGGACCAGTTTGCACTCCCACCAACAGTGCAGAAGAGTTCCTTTTTCTTCACACCCTCGTTTGGCTTCCTTTTTGATGGCAGCATTTGGATAGTCAGACTGATATGTCAGCTCAGGGCCCCAATCAGCATCCCAAGAGGCAGGAATGGAAGTTGCCAGAAATAGACTGGAAACTATTGTATCCACAGAGCAATTCCACTGAGCAATGCCATCAGAGCCCACCCAAAATCGGGAAGGAGGAGAAGATAGAGGACCCGTTCTCAATGGGAGCAGTGTCAGAAATCTCGTTAGCATTCATCCACTGCACTTTTATTACTATGATTATAATAACTTAGTAAAACTTTAAGATAACAAGAATTCAGATATAATTCAGCTCCTATCCAGTCCCTGTTATTAAAGGGAAGTGGCCTCAAGTTTTTATCTTCTACAAACAGTTAGTTGTCTTATGACCAGTTGAGACTCTTAGCTCTGTACACGGTACACTCTGTGTTTGAAAAAACACTGTGTTCTGAATATTTCCAGTTCATTTATCTAGATACTATCTTTGGCTTTCTCCCCCTCCTCTGGGTGCCTCTGGAGGCTTCTGGTTGAGTTCAGCCACTAGCAGGAGATCAGTGAGGGTGGGGGTAGAGGGAGTCACTGCAGTTATTCCTCTAGCTCCCTCCTAGTTGAATAATTGTGGTTTGTCCTCGCAGCTTCTCCATTCAGCTATACTGTATTCTTTCCACATTCTCCAGGTCCCAGATAGCAATGGCTTCTTGGCTCTAGCTAGGTCCAGGGCATGCCACATTCTAAGTTAATTCCCCTTAATTCTAACTGCGATCCTACTGGGTGTTCTGTTGGTTGATGGAGACTGATGCAGAGTGTCTACTTATATGAGTAGTAAATTAAAATTTCCCCCCTCTTTTCCTACCAGAATTGTCTATCAGTATCTTTTTTCCATTTTCTATCAGGTATTTGATCCTGTACCCCTCTATGTATAAGATTTCTTTGCATATTTAGAAAATTAATGCTTTTTTTAGGATAGATCTCATAAATATATTGTCCCAATATGCTGGATTTTTTTTTTATCTTACTTATTCTGAGGTTTTAAACCATGCCAATTTTTTTTTAATTTTACATATACTCAGACATATTTAAATATTTTCTCTTATTGCTTTAGGTTTTCAACCTTTCCCTATACCAAGACCCAAGAAGGATTTACTCATGATTTAGTATTTCATGTGTATACATCTCTGATCATTTTCAACTGATTCTTGACTACCATTAGAGGTATGGGTTTAATTTTATCTTTTTCCAAATGTATTGTTTGTCCCAGCACCATTTATTAAAAAAAAAAAAAACCATCATTGATCAGTGACTTGAGATGCCACTTTTTCTTATGCTAAATTTCTATATGTATTTGGGTTTATGTCTAGGCTGTTTATTCTACTAGTCAATTTGATCTGTCATGGGATAGTTACCATGTTGTTTCTATTATCAAGTCTTTATAGTATGTTTTATATCTGATAGGACTAATCCTCTCAATTTTTAATTATTTCTTTTTTTTGGAGAAATTTTTCCCATATAAATATTAGTGTCAACTTGTCTGGCTTCATTGAAAAAAAAACTTATTGACCTTTTCATGGGGATTGTGGTAATAAATTAACTTAGGTTCAATAGATATCTCTGTGATATTGACTCATATTACCTAAGAACAGGACTCCGGTTTCATTAAAGGGGTTTTATAAAATATTTTAATAACTAGTAGGGCTTGTCAATATCTAGTAGGGCTTGTTTCAACTCAAAGTTTCTCTTTTTTTTGTTCCCATGAGTATTATTGCCTACTTTTTTTAATCTATGCTTTTGTATCAACTTGTATGAGTCCATTAAAAACTTTTTTTGGTATTTTTATTAGGATTGTGATAATTAAATTGAATCTGAGAGAACTGATTCATTCTCCAAGAATCATCACTTAGAAATTATAAATTTTTTTATTTGAATGTACAAACACATGTCTAAAAATTGATGTCGGGGGTGGAAAGCACTAGTTTTATCCTATTCAACAAGTATTTACATATTATCTACTATTTACAAATTACTAAAATATAGGAAGAGGAGCAAGCCACGGTTTCTGTCCTCAAGAAGATAACCACTAAAGAGGGAGATAAATATATATGATTTACTGCAATGAATGTTGCATAGCAATTAATGCCACTTATCTGTTGGGTTAACATCTTTCTGAGTCACAAAACCTACAACTCAAATACTCAGATGAAGTATCCACATGTGTTTGTAGTGATCCATGTTAGAAACATAATTTTTCTGGTGTTGCATATGCTGATTTATTATTCTCCATGTATCCTGACCACCTCCAACATTGATCTTCATCTACAAAATATTCTCTTTCATAAGAGAAGGATGAAGATGCAACCATCCCTTCATTCTACAACTATTTATTGAACACCTTCTGTACGAGAAAATGCTCTTGAAGCTGAGATCATGGTGGATCACAAAGACCACAGCCCTCTTTATGATGATTCCATCCTAAACAAACAGAAAGCAAAACAAACAAGTTCAGTGCTAAAATGCAATTTCAAGTAGTATTAAGAGCTATGAGAACAAGTAAGGCAAATCAAGGAGATGAACAGCGAGGTATCATTTTAGAAAGGCTGGCAAGGAAAGGAGAGAGCATTTGGGCAGAGATTTGAATGATACAAGTGGGTAAACCACATTAACTTTAATATCCCAACATAATTTATATGTTCCTTTTATGTTCTTTTTTAGTCTTCTGTTAGAGTTGTTCTCTAAAAGACATTTAAGTCAGGTATAAAAGGTAACACAGTAGACAGTCATTTGATCATATCTTAAGATCTCTAGCATTATCCTTCTATAAAAAGGATTAAACAATGTTATTGCTGATAATAAATGCCATTTCAATCTAGTTGATTTCAACTGTAATCAAACAGGAAGAAGATTAAACTCAGTCATTTGCAATGTTTTACATGGTCAGGAACAGAGATGAACTTATAACTTGCAACTGATTCTGTTCAGGTTAGTGGTGCATTTATTGCCTGGGGGACAGATGTCTTTAGAAATAACCAAGCCCTGGTGTCATTGATGAACTGGAGACACTTAGTCGTGGAACATTTTCTGAGCCTCTGTCATACAGAAGACAGTCACTTTGTCAGATGTTGTGGCACTGCCATTATTATTCATGGACACCTCTTTGTTTCCAGAGAGTGTCCCAGGATTTCCTGGATGAAATTGGTCATCGGGGTTTTGCCAGTGGAACTATGATGTGTCTTTAAGACCAAGCACATTTCTTAACGAATAAGGCATGTGAAGTCTTCAGAAGTATCAGTTAAAATTCTCTTTACCTTAAAAATAGTTCTTAAGGGGCCTCTGTGGTGGCCTAGAGTGTTGGGTCTTAGCGCTACCACCTTAATGGCCTAAGTTCGATCCCTGGTCAGGAAGCTGACCCACACGGCGCAGCAGACCTCTCCTGTCTCACCCACTGCTCCCCTCAGCAGTGTATTTCAGTAGATCCACCTGTTCTGCTCCTCACTCTGTCTCTGGTGAATCCTCTCACCCCTCCCTCTCTGGCCTACACTCCAGTTCTTCTATGCAAAAATAAATAAATCTTTTTTAATAAAATAGCTCTTAAGCAAAACAGTAAGCAAAATGTGGTTTAAAAAAGCTGCAAAGGGCATATTTTCCTAAAGATCTTGGGTTATACAGTCAACTCTTTCCTGGCTAAGTGAGAATCCCTGATATTTTATGAATAATGAGCCAGAACAAACATTCCAAGACGCAGACTAAGTCCTAGCAGGCAAACCAGAATAGGACCACATCTTATCTATTGTGAACCATAAATTATTCTTCATTTTGTGGGAAAAGAACAAATGGAATTGGGCCAAGTATGAATGAGCTATGTCTTAAATATCAAATATGCACTTTTTTTTAAAAAAAGCTTTTTTTGGTAAGTATTAAAGGTTGAATATTAAAAATACAAGGAATTATAAAAAAGAAAACTTATTTGTAACCACACTCAGAGATTTTCACTGGTAATATTTTATGTACATACTTTATATATGCACGTGTACATATAAATCTTTTGAGACTATTAACTTCTGTGAGTATATTTTTATTTGTGTGTGTGTTTTACTAAGTAAGTGGTTAATATGATATGAAAGACTACATTGTACTCCAAATAGCTTCGATCTTTAAGAGTACACATAGCAGCTTGTTTATTTTACTATAAAACATATTTCTTATTTTTACATGGTGATTTGTGTATTGAAATGGTATAACATCATCTGAGTTTACTTTTTAAAAGGGAACATGATGTGAAAACTGAAAGATCAGCTTTTTATTTTCCCTCCACCAAACCACTCCTGCTCATACCCCATGTACCTCCCTCCTTCATCAAAGATTACTTGTAAAATTTTGCCCCACATAAATGTCATAGTAGTCACTTGTACATTATAGTACATCAGCATATTATCTATTTTATTATAAGAAATAACTGTTAGTCTTAATGTCATTAATAACATTTAATGATATGAATAATTGACTATCATTGTTTTTATTTTAATTGCTGAAATATTGGTAACAGAGGAAAGAATACATTGCTGGGAGACATATGCCCCAGTTCCAAGTTCAGATTAGACACAAGACAATAAACTGCATTGAGCTTCAGTTTCCTTCGTATATAATAAAAGTCTTGCACTAGGTGAAATCTGAGACCTGTTTCTGTTTTAAAATCCTGTCCAAGACTTGTTTCGGAATATAGGCACTTACTGAGATACATTTCCTGAGATGCAATGTTTTACTTTCAAATATTGTATCTAAAATACACCTGTTTTCAAGCTAAGAAAAATGGATCACATTTTGAAGAATATTTGAATGCTTTGAAGATGGGGCCTATTTACAGAGACCAATTTGTTTCTCTGCATTATTTTAGCATGCAACTCTACTCCAGTCCTGAAGCTCCTAAGTATCTGAGGCTTGGAAAAGTGGGGGTGGAGGAAGCTTATTACCATGGAGATAGATGGGAGCAAATGGTCACATCATCAAAAGCAAACTAGAAATGTACAAAGCTTTTGTGATGCTGATCCTTTTTTTTTTTTAAAGTAAGAAGAAGAAGGAAAAAGGCACAAATAAAAGGACAGATCTCTCTCATTAAATCCAACACTAATTTAGTAATCAGTGAAATAAAGGTACCCTTGAAAGCCTGCTGCCAGAAAATACAGTACAACAAAGAAGCACAAAAGGTTGCTGGCTGCCAGGTGTAATTTCCAGGTACTCCAAGTGCATTTGGACTCCCTGTTCTCTTAGCTTTTCTTTACAGATTGACCATCTTCATGGTAGATTCGAGCTATCCATTTAGTCACTCCTAGTGTGTTATCCAAATATTTAGAAGGAGAAAAATTGCAGGAAAATAACCTTTAATTTTATGATTCTCCAAAGGAAGCTGCTCAAAATTAAGAGGTCTGAGAAGCCAAGAATGAGTGCTAATTTATTTTTCTGTTTATTACCTATTACTTTAGATAATCTCAAAATAATTCTGACAGTGGGATAAGAATCAAAGTTGGAATAAGAGTGAAAATCTACATAAAGTAGCTTATATCAGAAAAAAGTCACTTTCAGTGAGATTGCTTGCATGTATTTATACAGCTTTTCTATTAACTTCATTCATGCATTCATTTTACCCTGGCAGAAACTGGCAAAAACCTAAAGACAGGAAAGGTTTATACTCAGTTCTTCATAAATACTTGAATTAAAGGAAATAATTTAAGAATGAATATAAAAAAGCTAAAGATCTTGGCCAACATTCTGCCTTAAACTTTCAGCTTACAAATTAAAAACAGTAATTGCATGCTGCTGGGATATTTTAGAGATTGAGGTGATGTTTTAAAAGTGTTTTGTACTGTTCAAAAGGAAAAGGCAATTTATGTTTTTAAATGTGGGTTCTGAGGGAAATAGTCTCTTTGTCCCTATTCATCCTCTTTCTTTCTTTTCCTCTTCAAGATATTCCCTCTTTCCCCACAGCATTGAGAGAAGAATATTCAAGATTACAAAGACATAGATTTTTCTTAGTTGATCTATAGTTAATACAAAGCCAAATAAAATACTAACATGAATTTTTTTCAGTCTAACAAAATAAAGCTAATATTTATCAGGAAATAAAAATGAGGGACTAGAACACTTCTGGAAAAAAGAGTAATAGTGAAGTAATTGTGGTTACAGAAGTATGTTCACTTTGAAAATTCATCAAGTTGTTGTAAGTTGTATGTTTATAATTTGTGTACTTTTCTGTATGTTATTCTTCTATAATAATTTACATAATAATGCTAAATCCACCAAATTTATATGTAACAGCATGAATAAATAATAAAAGCATAAGGATGACAAATTATAGTGACATGAATTATAATATATGTAATAATTAAATGTCATATAAATATTCATTAAACCTTAAAAAAATAGAGTTGTTAGTTCAGATCTACATGTGTGGTAGTAATATAAAAATCATATCAAATGTGTGCATGGTGACTCGGGTTAATAATACCTGACTGCATAATAAAAATTTGAGAAAAGTAGAGATTTCAGATGCTCTCATCAAACACAAATAAATGGTAACTGTGAAGAGAAATGTTTATTAGAATAACTCTTAGCATTATTTTACTATAGATGTTTATAGATATAGGTATCTCAAAGCAACAAGTTGTATACTTTAAATATATGTAATTGTTATTTTAAAAAAATCAGACAGGAGAGAGTAAGCATCAATATATAATTAGTTACCTGTGACAATAGAAGCAGGCAAAAATGGAAGCAGGTTGAATCTATAATATTTTCTTTCTTTTTAAAAAAAAATTTATTTATTTATGCATACAAGAACAAGGGTACAGGCCAGAGGTGCATGGGGTGAGAGGATTCACCAGAGACAGAGAGGGGAACAGAACAGGCAGAGTGACTAAAATCGGGAGCAGTCGGCAAGACAGGAGTGGTCTGCTGCACCATGTTGGTAAGCTCCCTGGCCTCCCAGGGATGGAACTTGTGCTGCAGAGGCTGAGGACAGCTTCACAGAGCTGTGCTTAACTCCTTGCACCACCAGAGAGTTCCCAATAATATTTTCTTAATAAAATATCCAATGTGAATATTACAAAAATGTTAATATTTGTTAATTCTGGGAGAGAGTAGAAATACATTTATTATACTACTTCTTTTATTTTTCCATACATTTGAAGATTTTAATTTTTCTAAAATGTTTTAGAAAACTTTTTTTCCCACCCCAAACTGCTACCTGATTGGTTACATCAAGGCAAATTAACAAAAACTACAGAATGAGGTAGGATTATTTGCAGAGTAGAGAAGTTGGTGTTTAGTTAATTTGTATGTTTTATGGTTTAATGTCTCCATTACTGATTTGAAGCAGTTTGCTTTGAGCCATAATCCAGTAAAACACAAACAAGATTTGCCTGACAGTTTTGGACATGAAAAAGCAAATGTCAACCCAACATATTTAACTGAATGACTAATCTTTCTTCTTTTGGTCTCCTCCTTAAATAAAATAGCCATTTTATAGATCTAATTTTTCCTTGTCTACGTCTACAACCTGACCCTTCTTTTTCATTCTAACTCAGTTATGTCTGTACAGCTCATGCTCAGACCCCAGCTCAGCCTAGCTTGGAAACATTTGATGGCACAACATTTATGAAACACCAGTTTCTTCATGTCACATCCTTGCACAAAAAGCCTTCTCTCTCTCCCAAGGGGGTGAGCTTGCCTTCATCTGGCCTAAATCTCTCTTTCTAGTATTTTCTCCCACAACTTTGCCCTGCACACCATCATGACTGACCCACATTTTTGCCTCATTCTTAGACCAGCCAGTTCCCTTCTCTCTGTCCATCACAGCCTTACTTCAAATCCAGCATTTCCCCTGCAGCCTTCCCTGGCCATCACAGCCCATTACCGTGATTACAATGACTTCCCTTTCTCTTTCTCTCTCTCTCTCTCCTGTTATCTTTATTTTTTAAAAGATTTATTTATGCATAGAAGAACTGGGGTATAGGCTAGAGGGGGAGGAGGGGTGAGAGGATTCACCAGAGACAGAGTGGGGAGCAGAACAGTTGGATCTACTGAAATACACTGCTGAGGGGAGCAGCAGGCAAGTCAGGAAAGGTCTGCTGAGCCGCAGTGTGGGTCACCTCCCTGGCCTGGGGTTGAACTCAAGCAGCAGTGGCTGCAAATGGCTTCATAGTGCTGAGCCTTAACCCCTTGCGCCACCAGGGAGGGCCTCCTGTTATCATTAATCTCTCTCTTTACTGTCTCCTTCTCAACACCATTCTAAGCTTTTCAAGAATCTCCAATTATAAAGGAAGCAGAAACTGTGTGTGGTCCTTAGAAACACAGAGTGTTCTAGTCCCCTTAAGCATAGAGCTCTGAAGGCAATGAAGAACACTGCAGCAGTGAATTCTAAAGGAATGAATTCTACGCCATTGCGGCAGCAGGATGGGCACTGAGCAGGTTATCTATGATCCGGCAGACCCGTAAAGGAGAGTCTTGGAGCCCTTGGTGGGTTTCTCAGGCTTTTATTAAACTGGAGTGCAGCAACCAGGTACATGGCAGGCAGGGGTGCCGGGCGGCCAGGAGGCCATTAGACCTCCAAGCCCCCGGCAAGTCTTCACTCTGGGCTTCTCTGGCTTCTTTATTTTTTCTCTCATTCTTGCTCTGCCTCTTCTGCTTCCTTCACTGCTTCTCTTGGTGACTATTTGAATACTCCTCCCATGGCCCACAGAAGTGAAAAAGACAGCTTACAACAATGTAACAACTGCAGATGCCCCATCAGGCAGGGCAATCCTAATGGTGGGAGGGCAGGAAAGCCTGAAAACCATTTACCCTACAATATCCAAAATGACTTGAAGGAGAACAAGAAAAAAGAGGGGCTTAGAGATTTTGTGGCAGCAGCAGAGTGCAGGAATGAAGATTTCCACATGCAGGGAGGGCTTGCATAATGTGAAATTCCTACCAGCCCCAAAGGAGAAGTATCTCTACTTTCTTGTCCATTTGCTCAGATATGGGACAGGAGAGAAGGGAAAGGTGAGGTTTAAAGCTGTGACACCTCTTGAAAGTTAAAAATCATTATCAATAAAATGACACTTTTATCATGGCAAAAAAAATAAATAAATAAAGCTGTCAACAGCCAAATTCTATGGGGGCCACACCTGAGGGGGGCAGGGGGAGCAAACATTGTTTAAAAATGAACAATGATGTAAAATATATATAAATGAAAATAAATAAATAAATCCCCCCTGGTTAAAAAAATAAAATAAACTTTCATTTAAATGAAGTTGAGACAAGGGCTCAAAATGAGGTCATCTGTGCTAAGTTCCGCAGCCCTGAGTCCTCACTCATTTACCTAACTCAACCTTTCCTGGGGGTGGAATCTTAAACCAGACAGGAATCACCTAGCTGGACTAGTGTGCCTGAGAGACCCCTGACTCCCCCTAAAGGAAGGTGAACTTTCCACAACAATCGGCTCTTTACTAGTGTAACTTCTTTGCCCTGCCCATTTCTGCCTGTAGGTCTTTCGCTTTGTACAGCTCTTCAGGAACTCCTTTTTTATCTGCTAGATCCTTTTTATCAATTCATGAATTGTTGAATACAGTCAATAAGCTCTTTAAAATGTGCTCAGTAGAATTTCATTTTTTAACATGTAATAATGCCCAAAGTAGAGAGAGGTCTCAGGAGGTAGGACTATGGGAAGTGATAAGATAAGAGGGTGGAGCCCTCATGACTGAGGTGCTTAGTGCCCTTGTGAAAGACACTCCAGGGAGCATTCTGGCTCCTCCCATCAGGGAGGACACAGGGAGAAGAGGACTTCTATGAGGAGGAGACCCTAACCACACATTGAATCTGCTGGTGCCATGACCTGGCACGTACCAGCCTACCAGACAGTAAGAGATAATTCCTGTAGTTTATAAGAGACTCGTTCTGTAGTATTTTGCCACAGCAGCCTGAACACACAACCAATTAAGACAATCCATTAAGAAAGATACTTAACTTTGATGTAGTTGCTCTAGGTCAAAATTACTTCATTTCTACTTTTTATATTTTCAATATTTTTGTTCTTTGTATTTTAGTATTTTCCACTTGTGTTAACTTGTGTTCCAAATTGTGTTCCCTTTTCTTAGGACCAAGAAAGGATAAAATTTTGTATTATCCCATTTCATCACTGAATAAATATAAGGTCTAGAGACTATTAAAACCAGAAGCAGACTACTGCAGGGGCAAATATTGACACTTCCTTTTTTGTCTGCTCATCCTTCAAGTTCTTGAATTTGCCTAGGGGTAAAAACAGCTGGGGTCCTAGTAGCAATATTAACTACTTACTATTCACTTCCCAAGTCCTTGGTCCATTTGCAAAACGGCTCATGGAAAAGAGGAAAAGCTGCAGGCAGTGCTCCTTCATTGGGTGGTGGTTGTTTCGGTTTGTTGCTGTTTTTTTTTTTAAAGATTTGTTTTATTTATTTATGCATACAAGAACTGGGGTCTAGGCCAGAGGTGCAGGGGTAACAGGATTCACCAGAGACAGAGTGGGAAACAGAACAGGCAGATAGACTGAAATACACGGCTGAGGGAAGCAACGGGCGAAGACAGGAGAGGTCTGCTGCACCATGTGGGTAGCTCTCTGGCAGGGGATCGAACTCGTGCTACAGTAGCTGCGGATAACTTCATAGATTGCGTCTTAACCCTTTGTGCTACCAGGGAGGCCCTAATTCATCCAGTCTTTATAATGTTTTCATATTTTATCTTCAAAGGGCAAGGAACAAATTTTTGTTGAAAATTTGTGCAATCAGATATCTGTTTTCTTAATGTCTCCCACCTCAGAAAGTGGCCTAAAGATGAACTCAGGAAAAAGGATGCTTGATGAGGACCCCACAGACTGCAGCCACAGGGCCTGATAGAAGCTTCTAATCATAAAGGCGTTCCAGCTTCTAGGAAGGGAAAGACAGAGACTGAAAGTCTCCATCACCAGGTGAAAGAAACTGGTACTAGTAGACAAATTGGTGGAGTTGAGAAGGGTCCCTCTTAAAAAAAATACTTCTCAAAAGTTTGGGCCAGGGCCTTCCATTTTGTTTTTATTTTTTAAATTTTTAAAAAAGATTTATTTTTTCATTTATGCATACAAGAACAGGGGTATATGTCAAAGGTGTGGGGGAGGTGAGAGGATTCACCAGAGACAGGGTGGGGAGCAGAACAGGCAGATCTACTGAAATCCACTGCTGAGGGGAGCAGCGGGCGAGACAGAGGAGGTCTGCTGCACCACATCGGTTAGCTCCCTGGCTGAGGATCGAACTCATGTTGCAGAGGCTGGCAATAGCTTGATAGCGCTGTCTATAACCCCTACACCACCAGGGAGGCCCATACATTTTGTTTTTATATGGGACTTATTGCTAGATAGATGTAGATGAGACAGACATATACATGCACATGTACACATAAAGATATAGGTGAGGATAACAGATACACATATAAAGATGTAGGTAAAGCTATAGAAACATACCTATAGATTTAAAGATACAGGTAAAGATGATCAATCTAGATATCAACATGGGGGACTAAGGCTACCCCCAAGTAAAGAGCCGGCAGGCCACTTTGAACACCAGGCCTCCATCCCCCTGCTCTTCTTAAAGTCTATGCACACCACTGCACAACCATCTTCACAATTATTCCAAAACACCCCGTCATCAGATTCTTACCAGCATAACCCCAACAGTGATAAAGCATGGTGCTTCATTAAGTGAGCCCTCCTTAAGCAATTAAAAACCACTATGCCATTAGAAAAGAACTTGGTCCATCTTTAAGATAAACAGAGGGGGACAATACAGATATGGAGAGTAGTGAAGTGAACTGAGGAAGTTGCAAGCTGTGAACAAAGGAGAATTCTACCTGGTGTTTTGGGGAGGACAGGTGATTAGACTGAGTATAGAAACAGTTCTAAGGGAATGTACATCAAAATGTTTGCCCCCCTGCTCCCTTCCCCACACACATAAGGGGGTCACGGGGACCCCCTTTTAAAAAAGATTTATTTATGCATACAAGAGCTGGGGTACAAGCCAGAGATGCAGGGTGGGTGAGAGGATTCACCAGAGACAGAGCGAGGAACAGAACAGGCAGACTGACTAAAGTACACTGCTGAGGGGTGCAGAGGGTGAGTCAGGAGAGGTCTGCTGTGCCATGTGTGTTGCTCCCTGGCCGGCCGGGGATTTAACTCATGCTGCAGAGGCTGCGGACAGTTTCATAGTGCGGTGCTTACCCCCTTGCACCACCAGGGAGACCCCTCTATGTTTTTTCACATTATGTGTTACTCTAGTATTCTTGCATTTATACAAAAGATGTATTACCTTTGAAATCAGGAAAAACTAGAGATGGGTTTACACACACACATAAATACATATACACACATACATACATATTCATATTTTATGTGCAGTATGTTTTCTAAAACTCATTTCCTTGTTGCATCTGGCCTTGCCTTCACACCTCTCCCAGACTTTCAGCTTCAATCCGTCCTCTTCATGCCGTGTCCCTCTCCCCTCCATGCTTTTCCTTCTATTATTCCTTCTGCCTGAATGCCCCTCCCCGAGTGCTTCATGATTCCAAATTCCAACCTGCCCTACAAGGGTGGCCCAGATTAAATGCGAGAGTCTCTGAAGCCTTCCCCCAGCAATCTGTCACTCAGATTCCTTTTTCCTCAACTTTGATAATGCCTTTCTGACTTAGAGTGTATTTAGGAACCCCCTGGAGAGATTTGAACACTGCTTTTACCACCTCCACCCCCACTCTAATTTGGTAAAATTGGGGTTGGGCCCCAAAATTTGCATTTGTAACAATATTCCCAAGTGATATTGGTGCTACAGGTTGTGATCACATATTTAGAGGCACTGATCTAGAACTGATCAGTTATATTCTTTGCTTTATTTATCTTATAAGGCACATAAATGTCTTTCATTAGATTGTTATCTCCTTGTAGGCAGGAGTTTTGTTTTATATTTTCTGAATCTTTTGCAGTGCAAGAGCCAAGAAATACTCTTAGGATATAAGTTAACTGAGGCTTGGAAGTTGGTAAGTTTTTGCAGTAATTTAGACAGGGGTAAAAATTATGTGAGAGTATGCAGCTGTCTCTTTTATTAGTACCAGCTCCAGAAACATTCCTGACTGTGGTTCTAAACTTGGATGCATCTAGAATCTATGCATGTCACCACACGAGTATTTCATTTAAGGGACTGGTACGTGCCGACCTTGAGAGGACAATTCCTTCATGGGACCTCAGATGCTCTGAAAGTACTTCTTTCTTTGGTTTCCAGACTGTTTCCTTAATTAGTAGATCTGAGACTGACAGCTGCAACTTGCTTATAATAGAGCAATGCAGATTTAGATGGCCATAACCAAGTGTGAAATGAAAGTGTTCAATTGACTTCTAGCTTTAATGTTTTAAAGGGCCATTGGGGTGCATGGGCTTAGTTGGCCCACTGTATGCATGCCTGGCCCCACTCAATGCGAGTCAAAGTACATTCAGCGTATAGGCAGACCTGATGTCTACCTTTCCAGAATTGCCCCAAGCAACAAATTACCCCCTTCCCCTCAATCCATGTTGATACTTTGCACCTATGCGGCCCACCTTTTCCTATCTAACCAATAGAGAAAGTTCCTGGTGTTCTTTTTTTAATATTTATTTATTTATTTATTTATTTATTTATTTATTTATTTATTTATTTATTTATTTATACATACAAGCACTGGGTACAGTCAGAAGCGCGGAAGGGTGAGAGAATTCACCAGAGCCAGAGCGGGGAGCAGAGCAGGCAGAAGGACCGAAGTACACTGCTTGAGGGGAGCAGCGGGCGGCAGGAGAGGTCTGCGCGCCATGTGGGACCCTCCTCTGGTGGCCGGGGAGCAGCCGGGGATCGAACTGGCATTGCAGAGGCTGCGGGCAGCTTCGCAACCCAGCGCTCAACTGCTGTGGCACCGGGGAGGCCCAGTTCCTGGTGTTCTTGAGAACCATAGAAATTGGAACAATTCCACCTACCCATCTCTGTGCTGGTATGTCAGGAGTAGGAGGGTCTGTTACCCTGGACTCTCCTCTTATTGATACTCCCCATTCTCTTTTCCACTGGTTCTTGAGAAGACAGGAGGCATCATTTAAATGTGTATATTTGTGCCTTGTAAATCTGTGTACTTCATAAAAGTCTGCTCATCAGTGGAATGTGATTTTAGTTCTACCCTGAAACTAGAAAATTAGTCTTCATCCCATAAGAAAGCAGACCTGGTGTTCTATATTGACATGGGAAAATGTGGTGTATGGGTTGTTCCCAAATATGGTAGTCATGGAAACCTCTCAGGGAACAAACTCTGGTGGAAAATTGATAACAAGCATGGAGCAGTGGGGTGTAGTAACTTGAGTCACTGTGCATAACAAATATTTATTAAATAGTCAGAGTGCAGACATTGCACTGGGCATTGAGAATATAAAGATATAAAAAATAGACATAGTTATTGCTGCTGGAGTTTATGATGATTCTCGTGACTCATAGAGTCTCATGAGAATTATTAGTACAAAACTATTCCAATAAATGTACAAGTTTGGTTCTAATAAGTACTGTGAAGGAGGAGTATTTGGTGCTATAACTGTATGAAATAGAAGGTACCAACCTAGAAAGGGCAGTAGAAGGTTTTCCTGAAATTTGACTACTGAGATCAGAGCTGAAGGATGAGTGGGGGTTATAGGGTAAAAAATTGCTCCAGGTAGAAAGATGTGCAAAGGTCCTGTGGCAGGAATAAGCATATGTTCATTTACTAAACAAAGCTCCAAGTGCTGGAACAGATAGTTGGGAGAAGTCTTATGCAAGATGTTGCTGGAGAAAAAGAAAGAATCAGACCATTTGTGATTCTCACAGATAACATTAAGAATTCTTATGAGCAATAAGAGGTCGCTGAAATACTTGGGTATTTGGGGGCCTCCCCAGTGGCGCAGCAGTTGAGCGCTGGGTTGCGAAGCTGCCTGCAACCTCTGCGGCGCCGGTTCGATCCCCAGCTGCTCCCCGGCCACCAGAGGAGGGTCCCACATGGTGCGCAGACCTCTCCTGCCGCCCGCTGCTCCCCTCAGCAGTGTACTTCGGTCCTTCTGCCTGCTCTGCTCCCCGCTCTGGTTCTGGTCAATTCTCTCAACCTCCCGCGCTTCTGACTGTACCCAGTGCATGTATAAACAAACAAACAAACAAATAAATAAATAAATAAATAAAACATGCCTCTATTAAAAAAAATATGTTTAAAAAAATACTTAGGTATCTGTTTAAAGAGTTACTTTGGCAAGTGTAAGGAGATGACATTGGGAGGGCTGGTGGGGGAGACCAGCCACAGGACTATGGAGTGATCCAGAAGGGAGAAGAGGAAGGCTTGGTGTGGGTTAGGGCAGGGGAAATGAGAAGTGGACAGCTTGGGCCACTTCCCAACCAAAACTAATAATGCATGGGACTTCCCCTGTGTCATGCAAACCTCCAGGAAAGCTCAGTGTTGGATGCCTTCACTATAAAGCTGTCTGATTATAAAGCTGCAGTTAGAAATCAGGTGGCCATCTTAAGTTTGAGATATAAGCATGTGATTGGCTTCTAGCTTCATATTTTAAAAGAAATAACAAGACTGGCAATTTCTAGAGGAGGAAATCACTGGAAAACACATAGAAGCAGTGAGCTAAAGGAGAAATTGCCCAGCAGTGTCATTCCGCATTATCACCACTGAGTGCTGCTCTTTCCAACCACAAGTTCTTCAAAAACCAAAAGGCCAAAGATCAGCAAGGGCAGTAGGAGGAATTCACCTCAATAATAAAAGAAAGAAAAAACAACAATGTTTCCTAATTTTGAAAACCTGAATCTTAAGCAGCAGGGAT